GGTCACTATGCTACCACGCGAGAGAGAACAGTCACTATGCTACCACGCGAGAGAGAACAGTCACTATGCTACCACGCGAGAGAGAACAGTCACTATGCTACCACGCGAGAACAGTCATTATGCTACCACGCGAGAGAGAACAGTCACTATGCTACCACGCGAGAGAGAACAGTCATTATGCTACCACGCGAGAGAACAGTCACTATGCTACCACGCGAGAGAACAGTCATTACGCATCCATCTATTTATTTCCAGTTATTATCCATGAGAAGACACCTGCTATCTTCCCGCATACAACATTGGTAGATACGACAATGATATTGCTATCTCCTCAAGCAATATCAAAAGATACAGTCACACTGTTAGCTACAGCAACAGTGGTAGGTTTTACTATCGTGATATTAATCCTATTAAAACTGTGTCATTTCTACTGCGACAGTTTTACCTAAGACGCTGTCAATTATATTTCCAGTTTTATTTGAGACAGTATCATTTCTATTGTGACATTTTTATCCAAAATGGTAGCATCTATATTCCCCCAGTACCAGCTGAGATGGTGTCATTACCTCCACCAAGAAGGTTATGTTTTTGCCCCTGTTCGTTTGTTTGTTGGTTTGTTTGTCTGTCAACAGGATATCTCAAAAAGTTACAGATGGATTTTGATGAATTTTTTTGGACGAGTTGGTCCTGCCTGGGCCAACAACCAATCGATTAGATTTTGGTGGTGATCCGGATCCAGATCTGGATTTTTTGAAGGATTTCTCATCATTGATGGTACTGTAGCGATTTACTCTCTAACCGCTTCGCTTCATTTCGCTTTTGCTTTCTCTCTCTGTAAGGGTTTATGATGTGTCACCGCCGCGTTAAACCCGGCTACAAATTAGAACCATAGCTATATACAGATATATGGGGGGACTGTTAAGCTGTGGCGGAGGCTTGCTATCTCCGATTGCTCTTGTTTCGACTGCGACATTTTTTTTACCTGAGATGGTGTCATTTCCTCTGAGATTTCCTGTAGTCTCTCAAACATGTTTTGTTCGGCAGGTTCCGAGTCACTAGCGAGTACATCAGTGCTCCACGTATCACTCACCATAGACACGGTCTCATCACCTGCAATCAGCCAGTTCAGTTAATCACCTAGTTACAGCAACGTGCAATCACACAGTGACGACCCCAAGTACAAATTTCAACCATGCAAAGAATGCCTATGCGTGCGCACACACACACACTCACACATACACGCATGCACGCACATCCGCAACGGGTCGAACTCGTCGATCGAATGCTGCACCGCCGCCGCCGCCGCGTCGCTCGCGGGTCGTCCGAGCTTGACGAGCCACGGGTCATAGGTGGCGCCGGTGGGCACGGGGGTCGCGAGCGGGTCATAGGTGGCGCCGGTGGGCACGGGGGTCGCGAGCGGGTCAAACGCGCTGAGGTCGCTGTCGGGTCGCGGCGGCGTCGGCACGGTAACGCTCACCGCGTGCATGCTGTCGGCGACGCAGTTCACTTTCACCGTCACCGACTTGACGCCGTCCGCCCGCTCGCCCGCGAACACCGCCGGCGCCCCCTGGCCGCTCGCGCCGCCGCGCGCCTCCCTGTTGCCGTGGAAACCGTGCACGTCTGTGAGCAGCTGCATCGCGGACAGCGACTCGGGTGGAATATTGTCCATGACGAGGCTCAGTCTCCCGAGGCTCTGCATTGAGATGAGGTCTCCTTCTCTCGGCTGCATGAGCCGGTAAGCTTCCCTGCACTGAGGCTTCATCGGTGAGTCTTCCCCTGCGTCGCCCGAATGTCTGGATGCTCCTGTGTTTGGCCGCGTTCCGCCAGGATCGCTCCTCTGCTCTCTACTGACATCTGCCGGCCGCCCTAAACAAGCGAACATCGCAAGAGATTAAATTCGTCAAGACTTTAATTTTCTATTCTTTAAATTTAAATTTTTAAATTTTTAATTTTTTTGCTCGCTAAATGCATTTCCATACAATTACCTAACCAGATATACAACGATTCAACTGTACATGCAAGTGCCTAACCAACCGTAACAGAAGAAGGAGATTTCAACAAGGAAAGAGAGAAGCACCTGGGTTAGACAAACGCAGTGCATTCCTCCTACATACTGACAGTGGTGAGAAATGAATCGAAGAAACAAGAAGGAAGAACTGAAACTACTGCTGAGAAAAAAATTCCCGTGTTAAATATCCGTGCTGTGTTACCCTTGATGAGCCGAGCAAGCTGACTCGGACCAGCTTCAATGCCTGGCTCTCTGTCCTTCGTTACGTCCCGCCTCGGATCCATGCCGGCACCTAGGCTTCGCAGACTGCCGCCAATAGGTGGCGAGTGTGCAGCGGCGAAGATCTCGGCCGAGTGCAGATGCTCACTGTAGTCACTGCCACACGCTCCGTCCTCCTCCTCCTCCTCCTGGTCATCATCTGCTGGACCGTGTCCACCTGGTAACCATAGCAACTTACTTTAATACGTTTTGTAAGTATATAGGCAAACAGAGTCGCACTGCTCCTCTGGATACATGATATGTGCTCAACAATGCCAGTAAACTGTTAATGTAGCATGTAGCACCGACGAAATTATTAAGGTTTCATAAAGTTTCTGTAAGTTACCTATGCTACATCTGTGTTTAATGAACCGAGATTTATAAATTATTTATTGTAGCCAAGACAAACCTGACATGAGTAAATAAATATATAAGGATATTAAGTGAGTAAACAAATACCTGCAATCAGGCCATTCCAGCGTTAATCCAGCTAGTTACCATCTAACGTGCAACTCACACAGTGACGACCCCAAGTACAAATTCCAACCATGCAAAGACTGCATGCTGGCCACACACACACACCACTACCATCCACGCATGCACGCACCCACGCAGCCACCACACAGACAACACACACACACACACACACATATCTACATTAATAATAGTACGCTCTATAATACGTAGTGGCCGTAGTAAACGCGGAAACCGCTGTGGGCAACCCGACTTTTCCACCACACACACGCCAACGCACGCACGCACGCACCACGCACGCACGCACGCACGCCACCACCACGCACACCGCACACCACACACACAAACACACACTCACACACAACACACAGACACACAACAAACCCACACCAGCGACGCTACGCACCGCACGCCACTCAATAGCGCACACACGCACAAGCTGCATACACACGTTCATACATGCACACACGTTTGGGTCTAAGCTTGAAAGCTGCCAACGTGTCTACAGTTATCTCTACCGCAGCTGTAAATGACCACACACATGCGCGCACACCCACAGCAGGCCCATCCCACACATCGCACCACACACAACCCCACACACGCCACACCACACACGCTGCCACATCACACAACACACACTCACAACCACACACCACACACACACAGCACACACACACATGCACGACACACACCCACACACCCGCGCACACACACCACACACCACACACCCACACATGCACCACGCGCACACACCAGCACACGCACGCACCGCACGCACGCAACAGCACGAATCCGCACGCAACAGCAGCACCAACACACCGCACCATACCTCCGAGCATCGTGCGAATCTCAACTTCCCGCGAAGCGCTCCGTGAGTCCTCGTTGCTCTCTCATTTTTTTTTGTTTTTTTTTTTTTTTTTTTTTTTTTTTTTTTATTTTTTTTTTTTTTTTTTTTTTTTTTTTTTTTTTTTTTTTTTTTTTGGAATTTTTTTATTTTTTTTTTTTGACCGGGACGGTGGCAGCGGCGCGTCTCACCCTCACCCGCCGCCCTCCTCCCCTCCGCCCTCCCCCTCGGCGTCCTCACCAGGCTGAGACTGCGGCGTGTCTGCGCCCCGCACGTCCGCGTGCCGCGACGCTCACGTTCGCCGACACCATATCGGAGAGGTGTCTGCCTCAGCTCCTCCGCCTCGAGTCGACGGACCGCAAGCTATCGCTGTTCTACGCACCAGCCGTCCGCGATATCCCTTGCGAGGTTGTCGCTCGTCGAGTCCTGGTCGTGAGACAGCGAGAAGCGCGTCCGCTTCTCCTGCGTCTCGACGAGCGCGCCGCTGTCCGTGAACGCCACGCGACTCGACCGAGACGACTGACTCGGCGGCGAGAACCTGCGGCCGAGATGAAGAAGACGTCGTGTCACGGGGGGTCAGTTATCACGGGGAGGGTCGGTTACACGGCGGAGCGGGGTCGTGGTTATCACGGAGGGCGTCCGTGTGTATCAACGAAGATGCGGTCGTTTATCAGCGGGGGAGGGTCCGTGTTATCACGGAACCTTGGACGGGGCGTGATTATCAAACAAAGAGGGGTACGTATACACGGGGAGGGGTCGTGTTATCACGGAGCGGGGTCGGTTCATGGGAAACGGGGGTCATTTACGAACACGGGGAGCGAGTGAG